TATGCTTTAATCTGTAAGGATCGGCACTTTAGCTTATATGCCCTAAACAGTGACAGAGGAACAGTTTTGCCTATGGAATTGTACTACACATAGTATGAAGCAAGTTCTGTTTCACTGTAAAACAGTCTTTCAAATCTTGATTTATTTTCCCTGGCACTTTTTCATACTGTGCACGTGATAGGGTCTTACATGGAGTGACCCACTGGAAGTATCAGGGAAGATTTGCTAGGTTTTTTACAACATCCTGGTGACAGATTGATGTAATCAGCACAGAAATCATATCAGAGAAAGCCAGTATTACTGATAGATAAAATCCTTAATTTCACAAGAGGTTCTCAGAAATCACACTGAGAGGTTAGGGATGGATAGTTTATCTGTAAGCTAATAACTTTCTTCCTGTTTTATCATTGTCACTTGAAATCTGAGGCTATTTCTGAGGTCCTTAAGTGCAGCCTGTTCTGAGGGAAATGTCACTAGTCTTTCCTGTCCTGCCTGGAAGCGAGAGGCCAAGCCATGCTTCAGCTACACCAGACTGTCAAGAGTGGAGAGCAGAGGCCACGTGCTGCTGCCCTCACAGATCTTAAGAGTGCAGACGACAAAGGCAGAGAATGGAAGCAATCCTCCCAAGTCCCTCCAGCTTTCTGCCACTTTTCGAGGAGCCACATATAAACTGTGAGTGCAGACTCCCAGGGGAACAATGTTAGAATGATGGGTTATTTCCCTTTCTACTCCATTCTGTTCACCCAACATTCCAACATTTTAGTACAACTTGAACTAGAAAGGAAAATAGATGTCAAGCAGGATGCATTTTTTGTTTTTATTTTTAAGATCTGGAGTAAGAAAAAAAGCAGGAGATTCTTGCCTAAGTAATTTTTAGTCATCTATTACTTTGCTGTTGCAAAGAAAAATATATTAATAAACTGCATCAGCTTTTCCCTTGGTGCAGGGGAACTAGCACCAGGCATTTTTGTTTTCTAACCCCAGTTTGCCATTGGATTTCTCTACACCTCAACAGAAGCAAGCTAGGGTTTGTCTGGAAAGCTCATACTCAGTTACTAAATCAGTTTAAAACATATTTTAATAATACTAAGTCAAGCTGTCCTCCACAGTGGAACTGAAAGAGGATAAAGTGCATCTTAAATTAGGATAGATTAATTTAGCTCTAAGCTAAATCATTTTAGACTAGACATAAGAAAGAAATTTTTTACAATGAGGGTGGTGAAGCACTGGAACAGGTTGCCCAGAGAGGTAGTGGAAGCCCCATCCCTGGAAACATTCAAGGTCAGGTTGGATGGGGCTCTGAGCAACCTGATCTAGTTAAAGCTGTCCTTGCTCACGGCAGGGGGGTTGGGCTAGAGGACCTCTAAAGGTCCCTTCCAACCCAAAGCATTCTACGATTCTATGATGATTCTATGATTCATTCTATGAATAATTTTGGATTTTAATAGCACTGAACATTTTCTAATATTGACCAGGTTTGAAAGTAGAATCTTCAAAAACGGCATCCCTGTCTTTTTGTGTCTCACCTTGGCTCAGCTCTGCTCTGCAATCCAAAGACTTCCTCCTATGAGGAGAGTGCTGGCGTTGTTCAGCCTGCAGAAGAGAAGGCTCCAGGGAGACCTTATTGCAGCCTTTCAATACTTAAAGGGGGCTTACAAGAAAGACAGGGACAGACTTTTTAATAGGGCCTGTTGCAATGGGACAAGGGGTAATGGTTTTAAACTAAAAGAGGGTAGATTCAGACTAGATATAAGAAAGAAATTTTTTACAATGAGGGTGGTGAAACACTGGAACAGCTTGCCCAGAGAGGTTGTAGATGCTCCATCCCCGGAAACATTCAAGCTCAGGCTGGACAGGGCTTTGAGCAACCTGATCTAGTTGAAGATGTCCCTGCTCAATGCAGAAGGGTTGGACTAGATGACCTTTAAAGGTCCCTTCCAACCCAAACTATTCTACGATTCTGTGCTTCAAACTGCATAGCATGCGGTATACTGGACTCCACATTCCTGCCCCAAAATTAGGACTAGTCTGTCCAAAACTGGGTTAGTATGCATTATTATTTAAACAATTATAGAATGAAAAAGTGATGAATATTTGTTACATCTTTTTTCTGGAGATTCTCTCCAGACCGTACAAAGTACTAGATGTAAAATGTTGCCATATATCCATCCCATTTCTAATATGCAGCTGCCATTAAAAAATGAATAAGATATTGGGATGCATCTGCACCATGACAGAGAATGACACAAGAAAACGTGACAATGACGGCTTATAAATCAAGTGAATGATGTAATCTGGAATTCTGTGCATAGTATTGGTTATCCCATCCCAAAATGGATATTACAGAGTTATGGAAGTTTCAAAGGCGGTAACATGAATGGTTCTCCAAAAGCAGGTTCCACCAAAGCAGACCAAGTAAGAGTCTATGTGCATATTCTTCTCATTGAACATCACCTGAAAATTGCACATGCAAAAATCAAGGGAAGTATTTTTTCAAAAAAGCGTGGGCTTTGCAATTCGTTGATACATGATGTTTCTGAAGTCAAGAATAAAATTAATATGAAAATTAGAAAAAGGGCTAAATAGTTACATGGACAGAAAGAGATTTGAGAGTGAAAACAGCTAAGTTAAAGGTTCCCCACTCTAATCTCTAGAATCAGTGGAGGGATATGGGTGGCTTCACAGGGTGAGGCAGGTTACAATTAAACTGATGGCCTTTGAGAGTTCCTCTTTCTCTCTGCTGGCTAAACAAAGTACCTGAGATTGCTACATCCCTGATTCAGGATCCTCTGCTGAGGTTCAGAAGTTGTGAATCTAGATCTTATTTTCAGCAGAAGGGAATGGAAGATTCTTTTTCTTTTCCTATAAAACGTATAGAACAGTCTAAGGTCCCTGACAGGGGCCAGCTCTTGTTCAAACCGCAAAAAGAAAGAAAAGACAGACAAGAAGGAATGAAAGAAAGAATAAATACTAGAAAAGATAATTAAACCAACATGTTTGATATTTCAAATTCAAGCTTTTGCTCCATTCATACATCATCATATTATTTGTTATAATCACACAGTGCATGATAATACACAGCCTCATCAACTTTTCTGCACCTCCCGAAGAGCTGGAAAACCTTATTGCTGCATGCCTTTGTATTTGCTAGAGCACTCGTTTGGCTTTAGCAAAGCTCATGCCCCTGCATTCTGCTGAAGCCAAGGCAAACTTTTTAAAAGAGGATGGAGGCTGGATAGAGGCTGATTTTAGCAGGACTGCTCCCCGCTTCATGTGAAATTAATGGGAGCTATTTGGCTGACTAACTCTGAAAAATAAAGTCAGGCCTTAGCAAACAACTCAAAAATGATTTCATTTTATTTGTTGGTTTGGGTTTTTTTTTCATCTTCCATAGTGGCAAATCAGACCCATAAGCTTTTCTGTTTTAAATCCTGTATTATATGACATATTTAGCACCATACTTATTAGAAGTATTCTTACCTGTAATTAAATCATGATGACCTACAGATCTACCACATTTCCCATCCAAAATGTGTTGTGAAGATGTGTGGAGTTGTTGTATAGCTAAGCATTCACTTAGTACATCTTGTTCGATATCAGTACATGAATTTAGCTACAAGAGGAGGATAAAACAAACATTTTATTTCAAAGTAAACCAAATGACTTCTAATTAAATTCATATGTCTCTCTGCTTAAAGATTATGTATAGAAGGAAGGAGCAAAATGTCATTCTTAGGAACTTGGTGTAATTAAGGATGTATCTATTACTTGGTATTTTTAATCAGAGATAATTTTGGTTTTCTTAAGCGCACCAGTGAAGTGTGTTAATCTTAAATCAACAACAGTTTGCTTCGGAAAATAATGTACGCTGTGTTTCTTCAAACCTTTCTGAGTAATTTAACTGCATGTTTTCAGGCTTTCTGTAGTTTCTTGTGTTCTGTGACAAAAAGATTGCATCACCTTGTAGCTGTGACACTTGGAAAGACATTT